GAACGAAATATTGGAAAGCTGGCTGCGCGGCAAGATAAAACGTTTCATAAAACAGACATCGATTCCGTATTACCCCGGCGCCACGTCGACGTGAATCGAGAGTGCCGTCTGCGAAGCGTAAAGGTCCTCCGCCCGGAGCGCATAAAGAGAACAGAGAGAGAGAGAGAGAGATAGAGAGAGACGCATTTCCTTATTGCGTCTCATCCCTTATATCTTCTCGCCCCCTTTCGCCTCCGCGAAGTCGCTTGTTTCTTATTCCCACCGCATTCACTGCATCCCATTATCGTGTTATGCGCGCGTTCCAAGGAAAAGGAATGATGATTCTCGTGCTGTTATATGTAAACCACAATTGAAGCAAAAAATCTACCTAACATTAAGGAAATGCTGCCGTAGTTCTGTTTTACCGACTTTAAGTTAGGTTAGGTTCACTTTTTATTGAATATACAGATTGAAAAATCTTTTGATACAGGCTTTTAATCTCATTTTTATTACTTTTGTATTATTCTTTCATGTCATCTCTATTGGGAGCGCCATATTTTGTGCACAAATAAACTGCAGAACTTTTGTATTAAATAAATATTGTTATGAGCTGATGCAAGAGGCCGATAAAAACTGTAATTTTTAATTTTATTGTTTTTTATACGAAATTACAGCGTTCCCCGTTCATTATTATCAGTAGTTTAATTGTGGAGAAAGATTTTTTAATCTGTATAGCCAATAAAAAGAAAAGTCCTTGAACTCAAAGTCGGTAAAACAGACATGGTCAGCATCCCTTTAAACAAATAAAACTCTTTGTACAATTTTATTCACAGATTTGGAAGCAATATGAGTTAAAAGTCACATGTATAATTTTATATCGAGATCGCAATTTATTTTACCTCAAGTAAGATATATATTTATCGCGAAAATATTAAATTATAACAAGTAAAAGCTGATTACGGAGCTATATATATCACGGAGCTTATTTTATTTATTTTATTTATCGATCCTATGCGATTCGATATTTTTATTGCGCGTTCTCAATTTAAATTATAAATATATTTGAATCGTCAAAAAATAAAATAATAAAGCACAGGACAAAATATAAAAATATTTAATATAATAAAAATATAAAATATATGATTGTATAGTAATATAAAATATTTGACTCTAAGTATTGTGAAAATATTTTACGTTATATCACATATACGCGAAATATTAAATTATACAAGAATTTTAAATTTAATTAATTTTTTATTAAACTGATTGATGTATCACAAAGCTTATTGTTATATGATATATTCGATTCTGCGATTCGATTATTTTATTATGCGTTCTCAACCCGAATTATGTAGATCGATAAAAATAATAAAATTAAAATATAGATTAATTATTTATGAAAATGCAGATTATACGCAGAATATTCAATATAACAATAATCTCTGCATTTTAAAATACTTATATAATTAAAATATTAAATATTAAGTATTAAATATTGCGTATTTATGTATGTCATAGTACCTAAAATATTTCAGCAATACTTATAATCACAAATATATTTCATCCGATTATTTATTATTTGACTTTTCGCCTAAATATCATTCAGATTGAGAACGCGCGTTGAAATAATCGAATCATAGAATCGAGTAATTAAATTAAGGCTAAGCTCCGCGATGCATTAATCGTCTATTGAATAATTGATCTCTATACTTTAATATACTTGTATAATTGAATATTCGCGTCCATACATCTAATAATGCACATTGTGAAACATAATTACTAATTACAGTTATAATTGAAACTAATCTTTTGTCGAGAGAACCGTATGTATCCTTTTATTTAATAATTACAATGTCATGTTATATCAATGTAATGTTATTCATAGCGGTGATGCGGTATTCTATGACGATATAAGTAAACCCTCGCTTGCTTTCGGCTTGTGAATACAGATTGACAATAATAATAATAACTCTACTCTTCCGCGTTGATCGCAAATTTCGTGTAAAGCATACTATCGCCACTTTCGTTAATAAAATACGGTAATTTCGCTAGCGGGAGCTTTTGACATTGCATTTACGTCAAACGAAACCCGATATACCGAGGCCGCCGCGGGGAAATATTTTACGTTTCCATTAATATATAGTTACTATATTACGCGAGCATATAATTGCAGTTAATGTCAAACGGGAATCGTTGAACGTGCTCTCTCGTATAAAATCTCATTTCGGAATTATTGCGAAACAGGCGAAGAGCAGGGGTTGCAAAAATCAACTCTATACGGAACATTTTCTCTCAATTTTATTTCATTTGCAGTTGCTTCCTCCGATTCCCTGTCATTTCGCTAAATTTATTTCGTACATCGTTATTGTATCGTTATTATTACACGGTTTTGCAGAAAAAAAGGACACAAAAATCTTCTTACCATTTATACAGAATGAGTCTAAATAAGATAAATTTTAGAAGATGATTCTTTGTCAAAATTTAAGAAAGGGTTTTCATATAAAATATACTCCTGTCCCTTCCTGAAGAGTTATATTTCTTCAAAGGAAAGGTGAAAATTAAATTTATATTTTTTTTCCCGAATTTTGCTTCTATTCCATTTTTTCTATCATTTATTATTATTTTGTTTTATTTATCCTTTTTTATTCTAAAATTCAACTTGTAATCCGAAACCTACGTTATTTAGTCGTGCATGTGTGCGATGTATTTTTATTTTTTTCTTGCAAACTATTGGTTTTACGAAAGAAATAAAACAAATAAAAAAGTTTTTAAAAAATCAAATTTTTTAACGCATATTTTTTAAATGATCGCATTCCGATCCGTTAAAAATTTCTAATGACAAATTAAATAGAAATTGTTAGTTTCATCTCCATATAACGATACGCAAGAGGATTAAAAATTTTTAATATCCTTTTTACTAGTAGAAAATATTCATAAATTTCATTTTTTTAATTTGTCCAAACAAAAACCTAATTTTCGCCTTCTTCTTTACAAGAGTGTACTTCTTCCTCAGAGAGAGATCTAGGAGTATATGTTTATATGAAAGACACCTTTTAATTTTTGATGAAGAATCTTCAAAAATTTTTCACACTTATTTCACTCTATCCTGGAAAAATTTTTTTATATATAACAATATAAAATTATATAGAAATATATCAAATTATCCATATAATCGCAAAATTATATATTAAATGTGTCTATACATAATTAGATAAAAGTGCTTTTTATATATAATTGTATAAATTTATATATATATAATAAATATTTCTTTATATATATATATATATCATATATATATCATATATGTTTTATATATAATTTGACATGATTATATATGGACTCTTAATTTATATATAAATTTATATAATATTGTATAAAAATAAACATATTTCACATCCCAGATAACAAGTATACATTTTGACGTTATCGGACGCCAATGACATCAGTTTGACGTTTAATGACGTCAGTTTGCTACTTGGGATATAATTTTACAATTATATACGTATAATTATCCAATTATTTATATATAATTATATATAAAAATTTTTGTCCCGGGATATATTCTAGATATAAGAAACAGACAGAAACTCGCAGTTATTAGAATTTTATTCAACCATCCATAATTTACTCTCTCAATTTGGCGAAACGCGCATGCGTTCGCGCGAGCATTAAACTGTAATATAACGTAAATAGCATAGATTAGACCGATCGCGGCGGCTTGATTATATTTTCCAATTATCCATTGTAATCAGCCGGAGCGCCGCGATTCGATCGGCGCGCCGATCGACCGTCCCCGATCTTTTTTATTATTTTTCTTTAACTATGCTCGCGCGATATCTACGCGATATCGATGAAACGGAAATGAGCGGTGTCCGTTCAAAATATCGGATAACGCGCGGAGCTGCGATTTAATTGCGTTATCGCCGGACTGCCTGCGTTCCATTCCCTGCGCGCACGATAATTATTCCATCGATTTGAAATAATTATATCGAACTCGTAAGCGGGTAATAGTCGATACTATCGCGCTTCGATGCGGCCGTTCAATGAATTGCAACGTGAAATTTTTTTTCCCACGCGCAAACTTTCAAACGAGCCCTTCCCTTATTTAGCGCGCGATACTCTATATTTTCCGCATCAGCGAGAGATCTCTTCGCGTGGGGCTTGAATTTTTACTGGCCGGAAATTGCGATTGCATTTTCCGTATGTATCGGAAAATTCCTGATAATTTTCTTACATTCGAATGGGAAAAAGATTATTTCGGAGTTCAATGGTGCGAGCTTGAATAGAACGTTAACTTCAAAATTAAGAATCTATGTAACGTAAAAAAAATGCAGAAATTTTAACACATGTATAAATATTAATATAATTTAAGTACAATATATATTTTTTTCATAATTAAATATACATGTATATAAAATATTTATTTCTTGACCAATCTATTTTTATAACTTTTTATATAGAATATTGTGATTCGATTTATATAAAAAAAAATATAGTGGTAGTTTTATTTAAATAATTCAAAGTTTCATATTGATTTTTTTATAGAAACAATTTTTTTAACTGCATTTTGTATAAACTTTTTTTAAATTGTTGGGAGTTTCTCAAAAATTATGCGAACCCTTATTTTGAATGCATATAAATATTAAAATTGAATAATAAAAAAAAAATATATATATATATATATATATAACTATAAATATTGTATAGTATAAGTATAATATATCTTTTACTTAATATATTTTTTTATAAATCAATATACTGCAAATAAAATTGAATAATAAAATATGTATGACTATAAATATAATGTAAATACAATATATTTTATACATATAATAATAAGTAAAAAATATGTGTATGAAAAGAATAAATATAAATGGCGTAGACAAATAAAATATGAAAAACCAAGCTCTCAATTTGAAAAATTGTTCAAAGAACAAATATTGTGTTTGTCACACGTGGTTACATTTTTTAAATTGATGTTAAAAAGTTTCTAACAGAAGATCTCTTCTCTCTCGTTACAGGATTGACGCGCGAGATAAACCAGTGACGAAGGCGCACCATTCATCGGACGCCGGCGTTTTCGGTCCACGGGCCTTTTTCCGAACCACTTTCCCGAGCCCGGCGGTTCTGGTGATCGACGATATAAAGCGGCACGACGCGGCGACATACCGATGCAGAGTGGATTTCCGGAAGGGTCAGACGCGCAGCTTCCGATACAATTTGACCGTGATCGGTGAGTACCAGCGACCTCAAAAAAATTGCATTTATCATCGTGATTCCCGATTTCTCTCGCTGCGTTCTCGCACATGTATGTATGTTGTACAACTGGACATATTTGTAATTTCTCTTCATAAACGATAGTTCGGTTGCGCCATATTTTCGGTTTCACGTGTCTTTTTATATTTTATACAATAGACTTTCATTGAAAAATGTTTTAAATAAAATCAGTAACAAGCGAAAATAGTAAATTAAGCCCGCAATTGTGTTGCGAGGTTTACTTTAATTGAAGAGTTTTATTTGGCTATATAATTTTCTGTTCAACTTATATTTTTAGTTTTAAATTCGCGATTGTTTTGCTTCTATTTTTAAATATCGCGTTTTCATCAATTGTGTTTTATATTTTTCAATAGATTTTTGTGCGGTACAAAAACAAGATACGTCTCATCGAAAGCTTACAAAAATATATAACATATTCATTTTTAAACATATGTACAAAAAACCGAGAGCAATAATAGAGTTATAAATGTGAAGTTGTACGTATAAAACAAAAGGTTTTATAAAAAGGAAATTTTTATTGAAGCTTATATATACATATAAATCGTTTTTACACAGTATCAATTGTAAACAAAATAAATAATACAAAATAAATAATACACAAACAGATCATCCCTCTAATTTTCCGCGGCTCTAAAAAGGAAGCTTAAAACCCGCGTTATATATACTCTCTTTTTCGCGAACATTGGATGGAAAGGCAAAGAGAGAAATGGCGGGTTTCGCGCTCTCGAGAAATCGATCAAGCTCGAAGAAACGATTCGCGACGATGAGATCGAATGCGCGACACGAAGAGTACTAAAGGGTCGCTATTTCGCGGGAGGGCAAAGGGAGGGGAAGAGGAGAGAGAGGGTGGCATGTTATCCGATCGATCTCTCGTTCTCTCGTCTCGAACTTGCGACCGAGGGCCGCGTTTACTATCCGCGTCTACCTATTTAAACACACATACACATGCGCGTTCGCATTTTCGCAGCACGTACTCGTCTGTCGCAAAACTCCGCGAAAAGTGCGATCCCGAAAAGGAGGGAGGAAGAGTGCACGCCTGATCAAACAAACGTTACGATTGTTGAAAAATGCATGAGCCAATCGCGAACGCGTCTCGCCGGTTCCGCGCGCGCGCGCGCATGACATTTCGTGACACGTGGTCACCAAACGTCATCCTCGAGGATTTTCTTCGGAGGATCTTAACGCCTTGTTTTACCGACAAAAATTGATTGAATAGAATAATAAATGCTTTTTCACGATTAAGGTACATGTGGAAACAAATTTGGAACCTATCGATTTTATGTTAGAAACAAAAGAAATTTTTAATTTTTTAATTTTGTTTGTTTCTGACATAAAATCGACAGATTCCAACTTTGTTTCTATATGTACTTTTAATCGTAGAAAAATATTTATTATTCAATTCAAGCTATAAAAAGAAAAGAGTGCAGAAAAATAATCGTAAAAAATAATTGGGGATGCTGGCTGTGTCTATTCAATATTTTTATTTAACTATTTTATTGGCTATACAGAATGAAAAATCCTTTATTAAAAGAATAAAAATTTATTAAAAGAATAAAAAATATTATGAATACTTTAAAATAACAAATCTGGGCTATTATACATGTGTATAAAATAAAAACAAGAAAGCTAAATAAAATAACAATTATCCAATCGGTCTTTTGCATTAGATAAGACAGCTGTAATTATTTAATTTCCTTGGTTTCTTTTTAAATACACATATAGTAGCCCAGATTTATCATTATGAATACTTTAATTCAAGTAATGGATTTTTTATTCTGTACAACCAATAAAGAATTAAATAAAAGTAATCGATAAAAACGAACACAGTCAGCATCCCTTTAAGGACCTTAAGAACGGATAGACGAGATACGATATTCGTGTTCCTGCTTCCGGCGAAGGATAAGAAGGGCGAGACTGCCTGGGGGAACTAAAAAAAATGTCGATGATTTCACTACCACCCTCCACCCTCTTCGCGGCTTAAAGTAATATCCGGGGGGATTAAATATGCGTTTTCTTTATTCCCGAGAGATGTATGCGTGCGAATCCGGAGTATCTGCCTCGTGCAAGTTGATCAGAAAGTACACGTCTCGTACACGCGAGAAGGTGTAACTTTCACGGGGAAGCCCCGTTCAAAGCGGGCGAAGGTATAACGGAGGTGTACCTTCGAATCTCGGGATAGCTCGCGGCGGGAATATAACCTGAGAAATCCTGCTCCCGATCCCTTCGATACCGGAATCCGTCTTTCGCGCGGATCTCGCGTCTCTCCTCGCCGTCGTCCGGAGGTTGTGGAGTAAAATGGTGAAGGAGAACGAGAAGGAAAAAAAGGGGTTGAAGAGAGAAAAAGGGTAGAGAGAAAGGTGGCGAGAGTGTAAGTGTCGCAGTGCAGATTCCGGGAAGACCGGCGTAGAATTTTTCCCGGCTTATCCCTCGGGCGATCTAACCCTTTCTAGTAATAGTCGGGTGTGTGCACCCGACTAGTGTTTGCGAAATGTTCAACTCGAAACACTCCCTATACTATATATATATATATATATATATATATATATATATATATAGAATATCCATATAAGACGAACAAATACGGAATATCCCAGAATAAACGGACGTATATTTTTATCGATAGATACCTTTTTCTCCGCGAATGGGAAAAATCCATTTCTCCCTTTAATAAAAATAAATCTATAGGAAATCGGCTCTCTCATCAGAGTTTCCATTATTTTTTTTACGTAATTAATTCTTTATGCTAAAATCTAATTTCAATCGAAAAGCGAAATTGCTGGAATCAATCGAGAGAAAAGAGAGAACACATACATATATCTATCTCCCATTACGAAATAAAAACTTCCCGTTACAGGACACGACCCGTATATATCTCGCCGATTTCATGGCTTTAATAAAGCGTCGCGCTGAAGGGCAATCCATTTTCCGACCACCTTGGCCCTACTTTTTGCCCGACACGTGCTCGCCCTCGACACGTATCCCTTCCCGAATGCTTCCCTGGAATCTGCCTTCCAAGGGGACCTCCGTCCAATTCAAACGTACTCGCGGTATTCCAAAAAGTAACGAACGAAATTGGCCCCCGCGGGTGCGGTATCAAACCTCACAGAGGACAAGGTATTTTCATCAGAGAAGATTGGTTCCCGAGAGTTTCTAGATTGCGTCCCTCTCTCTCTCTCTTTCTTCCCTCCAGCTCCGACTTTCCTGGGCTTTTCTGGGTACGACCTATCCCCTATCTACGTTAGAGCAATGCAATGTCCGAGCTCTCGTCTCTTTCGTTTTATCTCTGCCTCTCGCATATTGCGGCCGCGAGAGGGAGAGAGAAACACGTACCTAAGCTCTTCGACATTTAACTTTGCATGAACGCGACTCACCGCAGTTGGGCAAATCTCGACGTGTGGCTCTTGTTATTTTCTCCACCGCGTCCTTTTTATTCGTCCGCTTAAGGAAATGCTGGCCATGACTGTTTTACCGACTTTAAGTTTAGGGACTTTTCTTTTTATTGGCTATACAGATTGAAAAATCCTTCTCCACAATTAAATTACTGATAATAATGAACAGGCAGCGCTGTAATTTCGTATCAAAAAACGATAAAAGTTAATATAATTTGTAACAGCTCTTTAAAAATTAATATACATATAAAAGGCAATAAGAGCTAATTAAGTTCCGTTATTAATATTTATTTGAAAAAAAATTTTTTTAACATAAAATATTAGACAAAAAAAGTTCGAACGTTTCGGTTGCCTTTTTTAACCTTCTTTAACACATCATTTAAAATTAAAGATTAATAGAAATTAACAATAAATTATTCATAACTGTCAATATACTATATACAGAAACAGAGTTATTCGCATAAAACTACGTCAAGATATTATTTTTATAAAAAACAAAATCAATGCATTTTTTAAAAGCATGAGCATTTTTATATATTCTATTCCTCGAATCGTCATTTAAAGTAATTGTCGCGAAACAGATAAAAATTAAAAATTACAGTTTGTTTATCGGCTTCTTGCATCAGCTCGTAACAATACTTATTTAATACAAAAGTTCTGCAGTTTATTTGTGCACAAAATATGGCGCTCCCAATAGAGATGTCATGAAAGAATAATACAGAAGTAATAAAAATGAGATTAAAAGTCTGTATCAAAAGATTCTTCAATCTGTATATTCGATAAAAAGTAAACCTAACCTAACTTAAAGTCGGTAAAACAGAAGAATGGCAGCATCCTATTAAATCCGGGAAAACTTTCTTTTTTTTTATAGACAACACGATGATCTCGCGCCGTATTACAAGAATGTTCATTGAAAGATCATAATGTACTCTACGTTATACTCAATTTAGAAAATTAATGGGCAGATGATTAAGTACACGTCAAACTCCGACAGCATTTACAAGTATCCTCATTTAAAATTCGAGCACGTAATCATCGGAATATTAATTTAGCGATAATTATGCGAGTAGTATATTACAATCGGCCGCGCGGCTTCTCTCATTACAATACATAAGAAACGAAAGGGTGGTGGTTGTTATGTAACATACCTATATGATAGACTACACCCGTAAGTTGTTCCAGGCACAATGGCGATATATTAACACACATATAAAGCTAACGCGCGCGTGAAGCGCCGTCTTATAGATTACGCTAATGCGCCGGTATTGTTACACCATCGTGTTACAGCGTACTGTGCACGTGTGGGTGTGTCTGTGTATCTACAGTATATACGGGCACAATATTATTATCCATCGTAATCGCGTAAGTATATTACGCGCCGGCGCGAAGCATAATACAGTTTCGCGAACATCCTTTGAAATGTGTGTCGTTCCTCCGGAGCGGTTTCGCGAGAAACCCGGTTTCACTTCCAAAATACTGACGCTTTAAGCATAGAAGAGCTGTGTGCGTGAGAACATTTATAGTAAAATTGTCTCTCCCAATGGCGGATTTCAAAAGGAAAATTTCA